CCTCTCTGGGGAGCACATTCCATAAATGGGGTGCCACTGCAGAGAAAGCCCTCCTCTGGGTACTCACCCTCCTGATGTCATTCACAGATGGTTCCCGGAGAAGGGCATCTGCTGCTGACCTCAGGGGGCGGGAGGGCATATATGGGAGCAAGCGTTCCTTTAAGTATCCAGGTCCCAAGCCGTTTAGGGCTTTATAGGTCATAACCAACACCTTGAATCGGGCCCGGACTTCAATCAGGAGCCAGTGGAGCTGACGGAGATCTGGGGTTATATGAGAACAACGCCCAGTCCCCATCAGCAACCTGGCAGCTCTATTCTGCACCAATTGAAGTATCCAGACTGTCTTCAAGGGTAGCCCCACGTAGAGTGCGTTGCAGAAATCTAATCGGGAAGTTACCAGCGCATGTGTCACTGTCGCCAGGCAGTCATTCTCTAGGAGGGGACGCAGCTGATGGATCAGCCGAAGCTGAAGGAAGGCGCTCCTCGCCACCGCTGTCACCTGGGCTTCCAGAGACAGCTCAGGGTTGAGGAGCACTCCTAAGCTGTGAACCCTGTCCCTCAGAGGGAGTGCAACCCCATTTAGGACAAGGCCCAAGTCCCCCATCCCAAGGTCCGAACCGCCCACCAACAGGACCTCCGTCTTGTCTGGATTGAGCTTCAGTTTATTGGCCCTCATCCAGCCCATTACCTTGACCAGGCACCAGTTCAGCACAGCCACTGCCTCAGATTCAGGCAGATTCAGTGCCATACCCGGGTCTGAAGCCAGACTGAAATGGGTCCAGATAATCAGTTTCATCCAAGAGTGCTTGGAGTTGTCCCGCCACCACCCGCTCTAGTGCCTTGCCCAGGAACGGGATGTTGGCCACCAGTCTATAATTGGCAGCCACCTCTGGATCCAGGGATGCCTTCTTTAGGACTGGCCGGACTACCGCCTCCTTTAAAGGGGCAGGTACCCGGCCGTCTCTTAAAGAGGTGTTGACCACCTCCAGGATCCAGGTCCCAATCCCGTCCTTGGCTTTCTTAAGTAGCCAATATGGGCATGGGTCTAGTAAGCAAGTGGTAGGATGTACTTGGCCAAGCACCTTGTCCACATCATCAGGCCGCAACAACTGAAATTCATCCATTAATTGTGGACTCGATGGCGTCGATGGCAACTCCCGAGTGAAATCTGATTCAATAGTAGAGTCAAGCTCGTGGCGAATCTGATTTTCTCCCTAAAATGCTTGGCAAAGTTGTCACAGCGGGCCTTCGAGGGTGGCACCAGATCTCTCTTCGGGCCCAGATGTAACAGCCCCTGCACCACCCGAAAAAGCTCCGCAGACGGCATTGTGAGGAGGCAATGGAAACGGAGAAGAATTTCTTCTTCGCCATCCTCACCGCCACAGCATAGGCCCGATAATGGGCTCTCAAGTGTGTTCGATCAGAATCACCCCGTGATCTCCTCCACCTACGCTCTAGACATCTCCCAACCTGCTTCATCGCTCATAATTCAGGCGTATACCAAGGAGATGAATGGGCTCTGCCAGGTGGGAGAGGACGCTTGGGAGCAATCGTGTCAATAGCCCAGGTCATCTCCTCATTCCACAGTTCAACCAGGGCATCAATAGGATCACCAGCCTTGTCAACCGGAAAATCCTCCAGAGCTTCCAGGAATCCATCAGGATCCATCTGGCTCCGGACCAATAAAATCGGGTCCGCACCCTTGCAGAGGGAAAGGCCGCTCTCGAGCTCAAACCTTATGAGGAAGTGATCTGACCATGACAAGGGCATCAAATTTATTTACTAGCAATAAATGGAAAAAATCCTGAAATTTGCTTGTTTGCTGCTGCTGCATTTGCAAGTTAGCACTAATCAGAATTTGGATTCCTCAAATTAATAGGTGCTGTGAAGGAGAACAATTAGGAACATTAATCTTCCAAATGAGTCCATGTGAGATCTATTGGTACTTTACATTTATAGGCTTGAGGGCACTTAAGCCATTAAGGGGTAATGGTTGCCCTTAAGGCATGCATGCATGTTAAAGCAGACTTGTCACTTAGCTGTTGTGACAGTGGACAGTGAGAACATTGCTGAAAGGAATACCACTGTTCCTTTATCAGTTAAATATCTAAAGAAATGGGAGATTTTGCTGTATGGCCATGGAGTTACTATAATCTAAAAGAGGACAAGATTTGAGTGTTGAGATTTGTCATGACAGATGCTGATTAAAAAGGACTCCTGGTGAGAATACTGTGGTAACTTTTAAAGGCTTAATGTTTCTTGGCTTGTTTTCTGCCTCTCCTTTCCACTCTATAATCTGCCATCCTTGACAGTTTGCTCTGACAAAGCAATCATCTCAGTAGAGAACATAGCTCTTTGTTTTTGTTTGACAATCTAAAGTGATTCGTAAATGCCTAATATATATATAAAAAAATCCCTCGGGTGGAAATACAGCTGATTTTAGATGCTTTAGAAAAGTAGCCCAGTCTTGTCAGAGACCTTAAAGTTAGGATTGCCATCCAACAATATCCCGTTTTGCATTTTCTCCTCTAATTTCCTAAGTGATTAATTCTTTCAATCCAGTGTCCCCTAAACAAAAGGGAATATTAGTTAATAGCCAGATTAGAAGCAGGATAGAGAAATCTTTAGGTATCTCTCTCCTTTCCCCCATTAGGTGACCTTGATTAAATATGCTTCCGCTACCTGCCATCTCTTCTAATAAATATGGATTAAAATTATTTGAGTGACCTAGTAAAAGCATCTTAGATTCTCACACACTTCCAAGATCATACCTGAATTTGAACCGCTAGTGGGGGTAGATTTAGCATTTTCTGAACCAGAACCAAATATACAGGTTAATTTGTGTTCTGAACAAAGTTTCGGTGGCCCCAGTTTCTTTTAGTGATTATATTATGTTGCAATGTGTTAAATATTTGTAGACTAGCAATGTCTCAGTATTCACAGTGATTTGTTTTGAAAGGTAAGCTATTTAAAATTCACAAATGTGCTTTTTAAAGTTTTTTTTTAAATGTTCAGGTCATGAATAGGGAGCTCAGTTAAACTAGTGGACTTTTGCATACCACTATTTTGACCTTGGGCAGTTCTGTTCCTTAACAATACCTTTTTTTAATCCTAAAATTGACACTTGTTTCTTGCCCATTTGCTAGAATGTCCACTCTGTGTTGTGCTCTTAATGCATGTTCACAGCCAGCCATTTTCTCTGAGATTATCACAGATGATCTTATCTGATCTTGCCTTTCATTTTCAAAGCTAAGCTGCAAAGCCAAGGATTTCTAAGTGTAGGCTGAGATAAAAGCTTCTGCAAAGTTTATCCTTTGGCTGATGCCTGTTGCCCTTGTGAGAGACATAGGATACTGCCTTATGCACCCCTGTGGTACTTGCCCACCTGTCCAGTATTGTCTGACCCAGCTGGCTGAACTGCTGCAGGATGTCTCTTGGGTCCTTCTGTAGTCTCAGGGACAAGTGTCTATCTTATGAGAGGTTGATAGTAATACACTGGCCTACATGGAAAATGTACTAATGAGAGCATTAGTGTATTTCATTCCATTTTTCTCTGTGGATTTGCTGGATGCTAAGTTTAATACAACGCTGCAAATTGGATAGGCCGCAGTACCTTCAATTGGAGTGTATCATTAATTCTTGCTCAATTTCCCCACCTATCTCTCACCAGTTATCTGCTTCTTTAAGTAAATACTAAGCTGCATTCCAGCTGGGTTTGAGCTGCGTTTTTTAAAACACTGTTAAGGGAATTTGTTTGAAATAGGTTTATGGTAAGCAAATAATGATGATGGATGAGGTTATTGGGATTAAAACATAACTTTAGGCATGGAAATTCATGAACTCTGTCATGGGCTGTGTGTACACTGCAGTAAAATTCCCTTTAGAATGCATTCTGGAATGAATGAAGTAGGCATATGTATGTTAGCACTTATTCAAATCGTACCACTCTTTACTGTATTTGGTTAAGGTGCCATGCATTTGAAGAACAATGATGTTGATAATAAAATCACTCAAAACTTGTTTGAGGATGGCAGTGAAACAAATCTGAACTTTTGTGATGACTGCTCAGAATCAACTCCCCACTTCTTGCACACTGACCTGGTTTGCACAAGCTACATGGCTTGTTGTGAGCCATGGAACATAGCAGGCATGATTTGCACAATCCCTGCCCAGCCATGGTTCATTCTATCACATGCCCTGGCAGCATGACTTGGAGAGTTAAAGTGCTTTCAGGTAACCCACCCCTTGTTTAAGCCAGGGTGACATGTTTTGACAGTGTTACCTGTGTTTTTCATATCCAGCCATTTTTTCATGGAAGTGTTAGCTCTTGGATTGCTCCAGAGTTGAACTGTAGCCTGGACCAGATGTTCAGACTGAGAGAATAGCAGGTCACCATGGATCCCAGGAGTTGTCCCCACCAGCCTCCATTGATGTCTCTGGATAAAATACAAATCCCAGATAAAGACTGGGTCTATGCTTTGAAGATTGCTCAGGGTCTGCTACCAGTAGTTGAGTTCCAGGTCAGAGGTTGTTGGCAATAGTGGTGCTTTTACTGCTGCTATTTAAGCTCCCTGTGAATGAGCTTTTTGTGGTTGCATCAGTTCTTAACTGTAATGATCCAGCCCCAACAATAACATTGCAAAGCTACCAAGTTTAAGAATGGCAGCTTGCAGCTGGATTCAGAAGAAGCTCTTTTGCTAGGATCAGAACAGATAGTGTAGGAATGACAGCCCATGTTTTTAAATCTGCAATAGCTTCAAGAAGGGGTAGAGAGGAGAGCCCCTAACACTGCAATGTGCCCTGAGAAAATATGTAAGCATCTTTCAATGAAGTAGGCAGATTAATAACTGGGATCCATAGGTACAAACACACAAATTCTGTTCTTGTCTGCTTCCTGTATGCTTCCATTCCCAATTGAAGGTGGTAGTTTAAGCTTCAGCTGTGGGACAATATAAAATGAAAACTACAACAAACTGATTTCTTTCTTTCTTTTCTTTTAGGGGGTTGTACCTTTGATGATGGACCAGGGCCCTGTGATTATCATCAAGATCCCTATGATGACTTTGACTGGGTTCATGTTAGTGCTCAAGAGCCTCACTACCTGCCACCTGAGATGCCTCCAGGTGAGAAGTATTACACTGATGAATAAAGCAGTGCCATTGGATTTGGTGTGGTTAAAAGATATAAGGAGAGCCCTGTTGGATCAGGTCAGGGATCCATCTAGTTCAGTGTTGTGTTCAACCAGCTGCCTGTAGGATATGCAATATCCTGCTGCCCAAATTCCTCAACAACTGGTGTACACAGACATACTGCCTCTGATACTGGAGGTGGTATTCAGTCATAAAAACCAATAGCAGTCAATAACGCTTTCTCCATGACTTTGTCCAGTCCTCTTTTAAAGCCAACCTAATTGGTGGCCATCACTTTACTTCACAGAAGTGAACCCTGTAGTTAAACTATGCTGTGTGAAGAAGTATTTAGTGTCTGTCTTGGATATCCCACCAGTCAACTTCGTGGGATCACCCTGCATTCTAGTATTATGGGAGAAAAAGAAAAATGTCTCCTGTGTACCTTCTTCACAGGATGCACAATTCTGTATACCTCTTTCATGTCTTCCCTTACTCTCCTTTCTTCTAAGTCAAGTAATTCCACCTGTTGGAACTTTTCCTCATAAGGGCATTGCCCAAACCCCTTGATCATTTTAGTGGCCCTTTTCCCAGCTCTACAATATTGTTTTTAGGTACATTGACTGGAACTATATGAAGTACTATAAGTGTGATTGCAACATAGATTCCTATAAGGGCAATATGATGTTGCCAGTTTTATTTTTAATTCCTTTTGTAGTTGTGCCTGCTACAACTACAAAAGGAATTACCTTTTGCACCTTTTTTACAGCTTTCACAGCTTTCTTTCTTGCTCAACCACCATCAGCTCAGCTTTTATTTGAAGTTGCTTATTTGCAGCCACAGTTGCCATTTTGATGCCCATTCTCCCAGCTTGGAGAGATCCCTTTGGAGCACTTCACAATTTCTTTTGGCTTTAAGCCCCCTAAATAGTTTGGTGTCACCAGCAATGTTATCAGTCTTGCCTAATTCCAGATCATTTATGCAAATATTAAAAAACATTGGTCCTATACAGATCCCTGTGGAGCCCTACTATTTACATCTCTCCATTGGAAGGAATTATTCCTTGTTTCTGCTCTTCATTCGTTAACCAGTTACTGATCCGTAAGAGAACCTTCCTTCTTATTTCATAACTATTAGTTTGCTCAGGGTTTACAGGGTGCTTTTGCAAATAAACCCTATTGTTTATGTTTTTTCAACATAAACATATTTGTTTATGAACACAATTGAACAGAATGACAGTTCAAAACAATAAAACCAAATCAACAATTCAAATACGTTGGCTTCCCCCAACCTGCAGAAGCTAGCCCAAGCTGTTGGAGAAATCAGCAGAGTAACAAAGACAATATGCCGAACATTAAGCCTCCAATTCTGTGCTTGGACACAAACTCACTCTGTCTTAGGATGATGCTACCTGTCAAGCAGTGTTCTTCATCTATAATGTGATAATAGTGGCCACCTTACAAGGTGTTGGAAGCATTTCTGTGGGCTAGAATAGACATAATTGCAGACCCGGGCAAATCTCTGCCAGAATAAGTGTTTCATGTGCCCCCTATAATTTCCTCTATTTTCATCCTGCAGCTTGTGAGTGCCATTGCTGAAATGGCACTACCTACACAAAGGGCAAAGTTATCAGTAGGCTTGTAGGGAATCATAACATCTGTAGAAGTACAAAACCCAGGAGTTAGAGAAACAGGGAGAAGGAATGGCATGGCTGGAATACTGAATTGCCACACTGTAAGTTTTTTTGGTGGCTCTGCTTCCAATGCAGAATTTGATTATGTCTTATTGGCAAAGATAATAATAATGTGGGTTCTATCGGTAAGGATATTTTTAAAACCCTGAGGGACGTTTAAACATTTGATATCCACTGGCATTCTAATGTTATTGGAGAGTAGCTTCCCAGATCACTTTTCACAATTTACAGTAGTTATCACCCTTCACTGCGTGCTACTTATAAAGCTATCATTTTCAGTAGATACAAATAATGGGCCATCATAATTAATCCAGATTGTGGGGACTGAAGAAATTCAGTGGGGTGACTAAATTACTTAGGCGCCAGTTGTATGCCTCCTTACTTGGAAATAAGCTGTGTGGAATGGTGCAGATTTTACTTCTGAGAAGACATGAACAAGATTGCACTCTTAATTTTGCTACCTCACCTTCAATCATGGAAGACTTTGTACTTATGTTTAGGATTACCAAGCCATTTTTAGAAAAGATGCAAATGGAACTGTGCTTTGTAAGGAAAAATCCAATTACTGGAAGTATTTAAATGCTTTAATAGTGATACTTTTTAAAAACAAAAATTACCTTAAGTAATAAATAAGAACAGACTAATTATTTAGTTCCCTGGTTCCATCTAATTAATTTTGGTTCCTGAAATGTTTTTCTTCTGCTCCCTACTATACAAATTAACTTTAGTTGACAATGTATATTTGCTGATTTGTGGTTGTTAGCCAAGTAAGATGGAACAAATTAAAAAGCTAATATATCATATTTAAAAATAAGTACATCCTGTACCTTAACAGTAAGTATAGCTGATAAGTCAAACTATTTACATATGCCACAAACATTTTAATTTTCAACTTGGAGCATTAAGGTGTTCATTGAAGCAGGGAATAAATAGCTCCAAAGAGTCACTAGATGTAAATATGCCTGTTCCTGGACTATATTAAATCTGCTTTCAGTGTTTCCTCTGTACATAAAAAGATTCTTTAAATAGGTTTAGCTGATGGTTCTCTGCTTAAAAAAAACAACTCCAAATAATTTTAATCAGAAAAAGGAAAGGGTGTTTTGACTGTTCATCAGTTTGGAATATCAGATAACTTGTGATTTATGGAAATGTTTCCATTGTTAATTACTACATAGGACAAGATAATGAATAACTGACGGGATACAGCTTAGATGACCTTGTCTGTTCCCCTTTGATAAACGGCTTAATCGGTGCTTTCTAGACAGAATGATTTGCTGAGTAAAACAAATGCTTCTGAAATTTAGCCACATTTTTCAATTAATAAGTATTAAATAATGAATCATACAAAAGGAGAAAATAAGGTTGAGGCTACTTTATTTGTGTCTCTGAACAACATTTGTCAGCTGCAAGCGGGAAGAATGGGGACTTTGCACAGTAAAATTAGACTAACCAGTTTGCAACCCCTTGTTTTCTCATCCTGTTTCCTGAAATTAATTATATTTAAAAGCAGGTGCACTTCCACATTTATAATTAGCGATTAGGCTTTCACCATTATGCAGCTGCAATTGATAAATGGTTGAATGCTACAGTGTACCTTCCTTGTTAAACAAGGTAACATGTTACAGATGTACAGATTATATTTCCCCCAACCCTGTCTCCAGGAACACCACATAGTAGTTAAGGAAAATTGGTATCTTCAATTTATGTTAGGTTAGTTTTTTCTGACTGATGCTATATCCCATGGCACTAGGTTCTACCCAGACATGTTTTCCATGAACAGTTGCATCTCCTGGATAGATTTTTTGCTCAAAGTGCTTCTGATTGCAGAAAAGTAGTAGAGATTTTTTGGTGTCTCCCAATACAGTCCTTAGCACTACCCATTTTTCCTCCAACCCTGCTGAACAGATTTGTCCCTACATACGGGAAATGTAGGGAGAAGGTGAATAACCTGCCTCCTGCCATTTTACCAGCAGGATTCCTCTACTGGTTCAGAAACCTTCTGTGATGAACGGAGATCTTCCATCCATAGGAATAATACTCTGGATCTAATCCATATGCTACCTGGGGAAAGCAGATTTTCATATGAAGATTAGACAACATAAATGAGTACATCTTTTTACTATGTAACATCTACCATCCTTCAATTCAGTGAGCTCTAACAAGCAAGCACAATCATAACAAAAGTCTGTTAGGTAAAACATGGAGGTGAGACATTCTACTGCTGATTGGTACCCACTAAATGTAGGTAGGCATGGTGGCATATGTCAGATGTCTATAAACCTAGGGTCCAAAGACTGACCAGTGGTAGGTGCATGACAGTGTAACAGTATTATTACATATGTAGTTTAGAATGAACCAAGTTCCATTTAAAATGAGCACTCAGTTCAGATAGCTGAATAGTCGCTCTGAAACATCTGAATACATGGAGGGAAACAGTTATTTCTATGCATGACCCTCTCTTCAAGACTTTACTGTTCTCCTAAATGCAAGCTTCCATAGGTTCAACTTTTCTTTAGACTTTCCATAGATTGAATTGATTGATTTAAATGCTTAAACAAATCCTGGCAACTTGCCCATACATGCTTACAGGAACCAAGTAGCAAGCATGGACTCATCGCATGGGCTCTACTTTCTTTGTAGAAAAGCCAAATAGACATGGCGTTCTCATCTTGCGTAGTGTGCTTTTCTATCTTGGGTGATCTGTTGACCCAATCAATGTTCCAGTTTTGTCTGCACCTTCCTTCATCACTCTGTCTTTTAACAACTTTTTCAGAAATGTACTCAAGTGGTATTTTCCCATTTCCCCACTCAGACATTAATTTCCTGTTCCCTTTACTTTGTATATAATGTTCAGCATTTTATCTCATGTCATGTGTCTCCTGAAAGAGCTGAGGGGGTGGGGAAGTGACTGACCAATCTGCTCCATATCCTATGTAAGCAGAGATATTTCTGGGGTGAGGCTACAGTCAAACAACGAGAGGTTCAGTACTCCATGTCACAACTTACCTTTCCTTTTTCTGGCATTTTAGCCCTTTTCTGACTGTTGAGTACTTGTCAAGGGGAAACTAAACATCCAGGCCTCATAATGCCGCTCAGTGTTAAGCACAGGGCAGCTCTTTTGAAGACAGAACATGCTTCTACTTCTTTGAAAATTTAGCATGAAAGCTAAGAACTACCTGGAGGGAAAAAAGACCCTCGTCTGCTTGAACACAGCTTTTCTTCCAGTCTGACTTGTTGCTATTAAGTTTACTGCTCCCAGCTCAGTTTACAGGGCAATCTCTTGGTAGATTTTGTAATCTGTGTC